GAGGGTTCAATCCTATAGTGCGGATAATATTTCAAAGCTTACAGGTACTCAAATCAAAAGTATTATAGCTCATTTTGCTCGGAAATCATAAATTCTTTGCAGATCGCGTGAACCCATAGTTCACGCCACGTGACCACTGCGCTACATATCAAAATTTTTTTTATGATTAATAAATAAAGTTAGTTTGATTAACCAATGTATGCTGTATGCGTTACTTTATTGCACTGATCGCCTAGTTAAATGCAGTTTATGCGGGCGATCTGGCGATCTGCTAGCTCCATACTAAAATAGCAGAACTCAAATATGCGCGTCTTTTTTGCTTACTTTAACGCGTCTTCCTCATTTACCCCAATTTCATAGTCGCGAGATATAAAAAGACTTTAGGGGGTAAGTTCGATATGTATATTTTTTACGCTGTAATTACCGTGATTTCTGTACAGTCTTCTAATACATTTTTATCATGTCTATCACCACTTCTACTATCAACGTTCGAGGAAACTTATCCGCATCTAACGATATCCCATATACCAAGTATTTTGAGCTTTGCTCGTATAATTGATAATTATAAGTTCGCTGAGAAAGATAAAGCACATCAGTTATTTTTTAATACTCTACACCATATCAATAATAATTTGTGCCTTCCACAAGAAACTCGGGATATCGCTCAAATACTTATAAAAAATAGAAATGTAAGCATAAAAATATAAATAATATAATTTGATGGGGCTTATAGCCAGGTGCTTGTACCTATTGGCTTCGCCTAGTAGGAATCATGCAAGTACTGAAATGGGTGCGTTTATTGGATTCGCCTAGTAAACATCATGGAATTTGTCAACATAATTATTTATAAAGATCTGCTGATTCCGGATGAGGATTTGGCTATGTACCTTTCTTTACATTAATAAATATTATCATTGACACATTCCTGCACTTCGCCATCTAATCTTATTTTTGCGTGATTATTCTTATTTTATTTCTCACCTGGCTTTGCTTCCTATAGGCTGATGTCGAAAAAGTAAATAGCTTATGGAAAAAAGCTACCAAAGGGAGAAAGACATCGCCACCACCAGCATCTTCATCACCAGCATTATCATTGGGAAAAAGGCAGAGAGATCCGACTATTATAGATTCTCCTGCAAAGAAGCAATGCATAGTCCCAGAAGTAAGTTGCTTCTATCCGGATATAGATGTGCCTTTACGGGGCAATGGGTCTGTAAACACTCTAGAAGTAATAAAATCTGCTGTTTGCACATTTGACCAAAAGACAATTGCCTTGGGATCCACCCGCTCCTATAAATGTTCGAACCATTTGCAAGTAGAGTCTAAGTGCAATGAACGTGTCCCAAGAGAGAGTGTTTACGATGCAGAGATGTATAGAATCCTGCATAATTGGCTTGCAAAGGTGCATGGGTTCGAAATAACTGGCCGGTGGCATCTGGAAGAAATTAATAGTGATGGAGACTGGCATCACCTTTATTGTGATCTGACGATAAAGAGACCCGACAACCACTGTCCCGAATGTATTATAGAACTCATAGCAACAGGATCCATCCCAAAAATTAGGAAGCATTTTGATCGTGTATTAAAGTATGCCGACCAGCTTCATCCCAAGGAAGTTTGGATCGTGCATTTTTCTAGGGAAGATTCTGTAGTGATAGTCCCATACTGGCCTGATCTGGATAGGGGATTAAACGTTGTACACTTCTGGCATGATGAGAACTTTAGAAACATCCGAATGAGTGCCAGATTTCGGGATGCCACTGGCAATTTTTGCGAAATAATAGATGAGCCAATTTTACCCTAATTTATTCTTGCAATATAATAAAGTTTGCCATGATACATATCAGAAAAAATATTATCAATGATCATTATATATTTTTGAAATTATGAATTAGTATTTTTAGCATTGCGCTTCTGCCTCACCTCTATCTCTTTCTGCAGGTTCAATGGTGTGTCAAACCTTAGCCGAATTGCAAGAGGATCATCCTCAGGCCTATTGAGATCAAATACAACAAACTCACCCTTTTTGCGGAGATAGCTATTAATGACCATTGATGCATTTTTTACATCATCGGTATAGCGTCTAATAATTTTGGAGACATCTTCATACGAGCTACCAGAATTAAAAAGTACTAAGTAATCAGCATTTTCACGCATAAACATATCTATTTTATGATATTTCTGCGCTACATATATGCATAAAATATTCCGATGTCGACCATTCCCAAAAAATTGGCTGATTTGTTTCTGTACATGCTCTGGAGCAAGACATAAATCCTCAAAAATAATTGCTGTGTTTCTCTCAGGCGAAAATGCTCTTGTACTGGGAATTTTTTCAGGTGAGATATATTTGAAAGTAATATTTTCATAGTAAGGCGCTTTCGGGTCTTTTGAAATTATGCTATACATATGTCTTACGAATGCCCATTTTGGTTCATCAGGATGGTAACCGCAAACTATCAAATCATCACATGCAATATATCTAGACCCGCTTTTTTTACCTTTATATATACATTCAGGTATATCACCAAGAAAAAGATTCGCCAAAATATTAGTCTTACCTGTTCCACTTTTCCCTGAGACTACCATACTGAAAGGGCAGTCAGGACTCGCTTCATGGCCTTTCGCTCGAGATGACATATGCTTAGTGGCCTCATCCATATCTATAAGAAAAAGTTTCATAGGGGTAGTTCTGTCTTTTGGTTCTTCTGCATGACGGATTGGGAATCTATAATTCTGATTTTTATTTAAGGGTATTTTATAATTCGAAAGATTTTTTTCTTCATTGAGAGGTGAAATAAAAGAATATAGATGAGAGAATATAGACCGCGAGAACCATATGATTAGTGATACTATTAAGAGAAAAATCGCAAGCTGAAAAAATAAGGAATCGGATTTATTATCACTAAATAAAGTTTTGTCAGTTCTTAATGCATTAATAGGTGTTACTGAAGTGGTTTCAGGACTAGTAGTACTGTTACCTTTCTCCAGTTCACTAACGCCTCCAGTTATCTCATTATGCTTAGAGTCGTTAGATATTTTTGAAATCTGCTCTACTAAATGAGCATCAGCTAATGATTTCTCAAGCCGGCTCAACTTCACTTCTTGAAGAAGGAAATCTTTCTCCATCAATGTCTTTTGCACTGAAACTAAATCATCCTTCATCTGTAGTAATTCATCCTTTTTTTCGGCCAGTAAATCTTCTAATTCTTCTTTTGCTAAAAATAAACCAATGTTTTTATTAGATAGTTCAACTTTTTCTAGTTCGAATTCACGCTTGAAAGAATCCATTTCTGATAAGTTTTCCTGTGTTAAAGAAATATTCTGCTCTAATTCCTCCACCTTAGATTGGAGAGCCTGCATCTCTTCTATCATCTTGGATTGGAGGACTTGCATCTCTTCTGATTTTATAGTGAATTTGTTCTCAGCATCTGCAAGAGAAATATCCTTACGAGTGATTTGGAGCTTGAGATTATTTATCTCTGAGTGTAACTGCCTTATCTCATCTCCAAGCTTAGGATCATTTATCTCTGACTGTAACCGTATTATCTCTTTCCCGAGCTGATGTACCCGATTGGAAAGTTTTTCTTTTTCTTTTTTAGATTTATTAAGATCATCCTGTATGCGCTTACTTTCTTTTTTTGATTGATTAAGATCATCCTGTATGCGCTTATTTTCTCTATCTAAGACATCATAACTATCTGCAAACTGACTCCTCCAATATATAGCAACTTCACGGTCTTTTTTTGCGCAAGAAAGCTGATCTTCAAGCTCTGTTCGGCTAGGAGGATAATAATTAGCTGGAGAATTTCCAAGTTTATTACCATTATCCAGATCTTTTAAGGTATGGATCTGGGGCATTTTATTGGTATTTTTTTTTACTTTCGACAAAAAAAAAATCAGCCAAGGGCCTTAAACTTGTAAGAAAGTGGATTATTTTTTTTGGCAAATCTAATACCTATTGATATTTATTGAAAAAAAGAGCACTAATACGTACTGAAAGGCACTGGCACTTATTCATACTTATTGATACGCATTGAAAGAGAATACTAATATGTATTGAAAGGTACTGATATGTATTGAAAAGCACTGACTCATATTAAAAGGCACTGATATGTATTGAAAAGTACTGACTCATATTGAAAGGCACTGATATGTATTGAATCACCAGAAATATTGATACATATTGAAAAGTATTGAAAAAATTATTGGTAGTTTTTTGCATATATATTCTGACAAAAAAAATGGTTATCCATCTCCATGAAAAATTTTACCGATCCAATGCAATTCAGTTGTCAGAATCTGATATTAAAGAGATTAGAGAGTCGAGAGGTAAGATACCTAATGCATCAAAAAAAATGGCTGAAAAATTCCATATTGGTGCTCAGCGTGTTTATAAAATATGGAATAATAGTGAGCGTCTCCAATAAGGGTTTATTTTATCTTCCTCCGATCAGCTTGCTTTGGATAAGACGGAACAGACTCTTGAAGTAGTATCAAAAGTATTATCTATATCCCTTCCGGCTACAGAGATTCCAAAAAAGAATGGTCGAAAAAAGAAGGTTAAAATAGATGAGAAGCCAGTTACTGAAGCAACCAGTATAGTGAAAAAAAATAACAAAAATGATATGGTCTCTTTCTCTGATAATTTGTCTGATACATTCCGAGAAGCTAGGGTGGAATCTCTTCTTAAAATCTAGTTAATCACGGTGAAAAGCTTAAGGGTTTAACAGCTAATACCACCCTTATATAAAGATTCACATGTATCAGCAAGAAATTTACCAGTACTTAAGGTCAAATAGAGCATTTCTTCAGTCTTTATGAGACGCTTTTCAAGCTCTTTGCACTTTTTTTTAAGTCCTCCTTACTAGTTGGGCTAGAGGAGTTAGTAGATGCTTGGTCTTACTTCTCTTTGGGCAGATCTTCAACTTCTGGAGTTTTGCTAAAGGTTGGAATAATATATGCCTTTCCATGTAACTTTATGTGAAACTGGTTTTTATTTGGCTCAGGGACGCCTTGAACCTTTCGAATGTTTGACATACCTAAAAATAGCATTGGTTCTGTTTCACCATTATCAATACGAACAAAATTTCCAATAACTGTGACCAACTTACCTTCTTTATCCTTTAAGGTAACTGGCACGTCTGTAAACCATCCTAATGAATCAATGATATGCTTGGAATTGCCCTTTATGACAAAATTAGATGGTTTATCAGCTTTCCATCCAAGCGCCTTGATTGCTGGGCCATTTAAACCACCTAATTCACTGCCAGTATCTAAAAAAGATTTGGAAATAGTTAAGTCATTTATATTAGCATTCAGATATTATAAAGATGACAACTACTCGTCTGATTCTTTCGATTCCTTCTCCTGAGCCTTTCGAGACAAGCATATTTTTCGTATCGGTAGTGAGAGCTTAGACAATAGCTGATCATATGTTTCAGGTTGGCTAGTTACTAGATCAGAAGAAGGGATAGTAGAGTTGCTAGGTAAACTTTCATTTACTAGTACCTGTTTTTTTTTACCGATGAATCATACTACTTTTTCATTTCTTCTTCATAATTACTCCATTATTATCATCATCATCATCTGAAGCTGGAGGCGTACATTGAGGGACTATTGGTTTAAGTGACGTAAGATATGACTAAGTGAAATTAGATTGAGCTATCGGTCTATTTGGACAACTTCCTTTGCTATAGCCTGTTTCCTCATAAATTTCATATTTTCGAATGTATGCCTTTCTCTGAAATTGATCAGCTAATTGGTTTACAGTATCCTGAGTTTCATTAATCCCTTCTTCCAACCTATCAATTCTATTAGAGACATTACTTCATTGTGGATGAGGTCTTTGAAAAGGTTTTACAGGATAATCAGAGTCTAAATCTTTCTTATTAACTATACCCAAGTCTTTTAAGAATTCTGCTATATAATAATTTTTCATACCTTCCTCTGTCTTTAATGTAGATGGTGAACCTCTCGGCTGTCTAATGGGTTTAACAGTTTGTGAAGCTAATGCCTGTACTTTTGGAGTCATCTGTGCTTAGAATTCGGCTTTCTGATTTTCTAATAAAATTTGATATTCAATTTTTTGTTATGCCAATGCATTTTGAATTGTTTTTTGCATATCTTCTAAAGAAATTCCTTGCTGTTAAGATGTGATATTGGGAATGGTAGGAGGGCTGATGAATAGCTAGAATATGATAGTAATGGCCCTAATATTCCACGACGTAATTCCATTTCTTCTAAACTATTGAGAATATCGTTAATAGGTTTGTGATGACCAATCGTAATGATGTCATTTAATATATCATGTCTTACTCCAGACATAAAATATGTTTTCTTTTACGCAGGAGTATAGCCCAATTGATCTCCATACTTTTGAATTTTTGTCCAGAAAGATGTTACACTTTCATGTGTTCCTTGTTTTAATGTTCTAATTTCAAGCATTCTCAAAT